AAGAGATTTTCGTGAGAAAAACTAATGCTTTTTGAAAAAGATTTATTACAATATACTACTGCATGCAAGATTCAGGTGTAATAATATAGTAATACGCATGAAAACCACATTATATCATTTACAATATACAGTTGGAATTGCTGCTGTACAATAAACTTTAACCCTTCCTGGCAGAGTGATAAGTATAGCCCTCTCTTTCTTGTGCACCGGATATATCTGAGTCAAAAGAGAAACAATATATTTGTTTTGCCCAGAACAATACATTTGCTTGTTTTATTTTTCAATCTGTTCTCCGGGTTACAGTATTCGGTCATTTATTATGTGCTTAAAACTAGTTATTTAATTTTAAACTAGATGTCAGCACTCATCGAACAAGTAAGCTAAAAATTAACACGCATATTATATTCTACATATACTTAGTCATGTGTAATTTTTTTGAATTAGGAAGAAGATAGGCAATTTTTAGACCGTTTTTTTAATTACGCGATCTCTAAGGAATTAAGTCTTTAAACATACACAAGGCGCATAATGAAATTAAACGATTCATTTCAATTGTTTGTTTCAAAACGAAAATAGAGTAAGCATTATGTTATGGTAATAATATGTTTCAACATAAAAATTATTTTACACATATTTACGAAAACAATGGAACACAAATATGATTATATTCGAATTTCAGATATTTTTATTGTTCTTATTTACAAATGAATAATTCTTTTAAAAAAATGGAGAAAGCGAAAAGGTACTAAAAGCATCACGCTCGATGAAAAAACTACGGCGAAAAAACTACAGACGATAGTAAGAAATGCCCATTGCATGCGTATATTTCAGGTCAAATTACGGAAAAACGAACCAGCATTTAAGGTGTCGGTACTTTTTATCTCAAAATCCATTTTTACTGCAACATGTTCCGGAAGAAAAAATCAGATATACCGTAATGTTTACAGTAATAATTACAGTAAAATTACTGGACCACTCTAATTAAATAAACGTTACTGTAAATATTACGGTATAATATTTACTGTAAAAATGGATTTCGATGCAAAATGGATTTTACGAATGATGCACCCAAAGTGGGGTATTTATACCATAATTTGATCCAGAATTGTTTAAAGTTTTATAATTAAAAAATAAATTTAATAATGGCCATATTGCTGAGGCTCTATAAAGCATGCAAGCGTTAAACCGTTTTTTTTCGTTTCAATATAATTAATACTTTAAATCCAAAACAAATTCTGACCGCAAAAAAAACATAATTCTTGCAATAAAAACCAAAATCTACGGTATTTTAACCATTGATACCTTAACAGTTTCCGTTCATATGCTAACCTCTTACTAGAAGTTCTAGTTTTCAAAATTATAGTTCTTGTTATTACTTATATTATATATATTATTAGTAGTACATTTTGCAAAAAAGAAATCCAAATCGCAAACAAAATATTTTTAAAAATCAATGAAATCTGTGAAGCTTTTAAGCCTAAAACAAGCTCCTGTAACAAACTATACGCGTTCAAGAGAATAAACATACTATATTACTTATGTTGGTGGAAATGAACATTTCTAGCTAATCTATCATCATTATGGAAAAAGCTATTTTTATTTCACCTTTTTGGACACTATCAGATATTTGAAACTATTTAAGCATAAAATAATAATTGGCTGAATTGAATCGAAAATGGAAATGCGATAACATTTACACAAAAATACAAGCACGGAATCTATTTAGGCTGAAAGAATGGTTTCCAAGTCGACATGCAAATTTAGAACTACACTAGTGACAAATTACAACTTGGCAAAGCTATAAAATAAGAATTTAAGAAATAAAGTTATTTAACTTTAAACATTTTTTTTCGATAATTTACTTACTTTTGATTTTGTAATTAAAAAGAAGGGATTGCGATATGTATCCGCAAATATAATTAAAATAGACAACGGCTGTCAAGGCATTTCTTAATAATATCAAGTTGAAGCTTTTATTCATTTAAAACAAATAATTTCTGATGGCTTTACAATACATTCTTTATTAGGGAAAACAATATGATGTTTCAATTCTGCAATTCAGTAACTAACACGTAATGGGAGAAGAGAGTAGAAATTGTGCTAAATAATACACTATTTAAAAAATATAGAAGAAACGTGAATATTAACATTAAGGATATTTTTTAAAGTAAACATTTATATAAATTTCTACTTATATTTTAGTATTTACTTAATATTTTATTATTTACTTAATATTTGCCTACGTAATAAATATGTAAGCCCATATTAGATAAGGACATCTGTAAGTAAAACATTTGTATTTATTTCTTACACATTATACATCTCGTAAAGATTCATGCAATTAAAGTCTGATTGACAAGTCAAAAATTAATTTCAATAAATTTGCGGAATCATGATTGCTTAAAAGTGCGATTTGTACTACAAAACGTATTGCTAATATCTAATTTTTGTCAAGTTCTTTACCAAAAGGTAATTACATTCAGACAGCTTCCAATTTTTTTAACAACTTTAAAACTATTGTTATGAATTTGATTTTAAACAGAAAAATTACCCTTTATTATTTTTACTCAAAGCTGTTAATTTATTGCTTGTAAATATTGCATCTTAAGTCTTCAATTCCTTACATTCAGTGAAAATAATTAACTAAAAATTCAGTATTCAAAATCCAACACTCAAATTGCTATTATCAAATAACATTTTATATGAGAAGGAAAAAATTGCTTTTCTTTTTCGGAAAGTTAAATTGGTTAAGGAATAACTGCTTTAAGTTAATAAAACAATTTTTGAAATAATGAATCTGAATTAAATATGTTCTTCAAAAAATCTATTCTTGTCATAATAAATAAATTCGATAGTATTGATGAAATTAAATATTTTTAACCTTTTGTAATTTCAGAAAAGCATGCTGCTACAACACGGTATCGCACTGTATGGTAACAACATTTCTACAACTAAAAAAACATGATTCTAGTTAATAAAACCTAATTATACGGTATTTAGAGCATTCATTTGGTAATTGTCCCGTTCATATTGTAACCGTTTACCTTAAATTTTGGTTTTCAAAATTATAGCTCCTTTTACTTCACATTTGGTAAAAAAAAAAAGAAATAAACTTGAGCGAAAAAGCTAAAAAGTAAATTTGACCGAATAGATGGTTCTTATGGAATTAAGATAAAATTACCGAATTTTACAACATTTTCCAAATTTTATATCGGATGATAAATTTATATTTCTATTGTAAATTTAACCGAAACCATTACGATAGCGCTTCAATAAAAATTACCAAGCTTCTTTGGCATTCCTAAATAGCCGAAAACTTGATAAATTTTATCATAATTTTGTAGTTTGAACCATATTTTTTTCTTTGTACAGACAAATGGAAAATTTTGCTTATTATAATCTAGTTTTATTAGTTAAATTACTTAATTTTCCCTTTTTTTTAAAATAATAATAGTGCAGACTGGATGAGTTACGCTCCGAACGATGAATCTAGAAAATTCATAATTTTTTGTGCTATTTTCTTACTGGAAACATCACTTAAATATGTTATTTTATTAAATTCCCCCTGTTTTTTACCTTTTTTTAAGTTACTCATTTAAATAGGGCGATATTTACACGCTTTGGATCTGCTTATGATTAGTGAAATTTCATTAAAGATATGCGCAGCTTAAATAATAAGGACTAATTTCGACGCTATATCACAGCACTCAGCACAATGAATGAAAACGTTAGACGAATGCAAACGTGCAACCACAAACGAGGTTTAGTGTTTTGTTTTTCATTCATCAAGTATGATGCCTCCTACAACCAATGATTAAATCAGCATTTTGATAAAATAAGAATTTTGATTATTAAGTTAACTCAATGATAAAATAAGCATTTTGATATTAAATATGAAGGAAATATTTTTTTTTTATTCTTGGATCTGAATAAAAATTTAAATTTTTCATAAACAGATTATATTTCCTTCATTTTAGAAATCATACAAAAATAGCATACAAATGAACCCTCTAAAGATTAAATAAATTTCTGAATTAAATACACATTTACATTCGTGGTACAAAAATTTGAATGCATCCTTTGAGATTATTTAGAGGAACATCAAATACAAAATTCTTGCCTTGCGCATTGACTGATTAATGTGTTAATTAAACAAACTGTTATTATCTCTACGAAGAATTCTCAAATACATAAACTTTTTCGTCTATTTTTAAAAATGTTAAAATCTTCTATCAGTTGCATTAGTTAACAAAATGTGTCTACATGTATGTATTTCTGAAATCTAATTATAACAAGGGAACATAGAGAATGTATGAATAATAAAACACTATAAAAGATTCAAATGCTCCAAACTCAAATTTTTGTATGTCCAAGAGTACTTAAATTTGGATCATTGTAAGCTGAAAAACAAAAATGCGTAAAGTACAGTGACATAAATATTTAGTATAATTCTAAACTAAATCTTCCCATATTTCCCTCGTTGCAGAGTATCGAAAATGAAAAATGTAAACTTTCGATAATATTAATCACAGAAAAATTAACATTTTAAAGCCAAATCGGAGGTATATTTCATTTAGACAGTAATATTTCAAATGATTTATATGAATTAACTTGTTTTATTTATTGAAATATGTCTCTTTTACATAAATATAACCTTTCGTATGTTTTGTATTGTATTGATTATTAGTAGTATTGAAAAATAGAAAATCTCGTCGAAAATTAATTGGGATGCTTTACTTTTTATTGGTTTGAAATTGTTCTGTCTATTTTTAATTTATTTACAGAATGGTTGATTTTGAAGTATTAAGACAATTCTAATGTTATACTTTAGCTAAAAATAATTGTTTAAATAGTTCTTTGGGATTTTAACACCACGCAGCTTTCATTCATAAAATTTTTCCCTTGAAGTTAGATTGTTAGAACTTTAAGTGAATGATTTAAAATAATACCAACTATAATTTAAATGGTAAAGTACATAGAAGTACTAAAAATTAACTTACCTGAATAAACTGTAATGAATAAAATTGTACATAAAGGCACTGCAAGAAGAAAAATGGTGATATAAAATGTTTTTAAATATTGCCGCCGAAACAAATGACGATTCAAATAATTCACAACGTTATTTGTCATATCTGTTTCTATATCAAAACTTTATCTTAAAAATATAAGTTAAGTTTAAAGTTATAGCTCTTTTTAATTCCTCTAAAAACACACCTTGTATCAAGTCAATCAGATTTTTCCGATATGAATGTCTTATTGCTTCTTGAATCAATACTTTACCAATTGTAAAAAAAGTATACAAAATAGTTTTCTTCCCAATCTAAATATACCTTCCAAACATTTCTTCGTTAATTTAGTTTTTATATTTTTATTACATTGTTTAAAAAAATTAGGCTATATTTTGGCATCTGTTAATTTTATAAATTATAATAAATAATTTTCAAAAATCATTTGTGAATTTAATTCGATCGAAATTAATTGCTTTAACTCTTCTCTTTTCGGACAACAGATGCAAAGTTATTCATATTTCTCCGGAGAACGCACCAGCTCCTATTTCTGATGAATGCATTGCTAAGGGAAGCTTTAGAAAGTGGGAGAGTCCGGAGTCCTGACTAGTTCCGAGAAAGGTTTCCTGTTTCTGAGTCATCTGAACTGCTGCCGGCTTTTTACTTCGTTGGTTTATCCCAGATGGCGCTGAAGGACAGAGAGGGAAAAGCGTTTGGAGCTGAATATTTAGAGAGAATACTATCCTCTCTCGTTGTACCTTTTACGTTAAATCTGTACTTTTATATTTTCTTTAGATAATTATTCTTTCATTTCCATTTAGATTTCGTGAATATAGATATTTTATTCTTTGTTTTCAAGTTGTATTTGTGAGACAAATTAAAGGGACAAAAGAACAAAAATCAGCAGAAAATTTATTAGTTTCAAATTAAGATAGAGTTAAATTGCTTGAACATTAAAGTGAGGTGAACATCCCATTTAAAAAAACATTAAACCAAAAAAGTATTATTTTAAACGTGAAAATTTTTTTTCAAAAATATGATTTAACACTAAGATTATGACGTTGGTCGTTTAAATTGGAAATGCAATTTAACTAAAAATTTTTACTTATGTCTTACAACTCTTAGTTTTTTCTTCAGTTCTTTTAAACTTCCTTTTTTTGCATTTCCGAATTTTTGTAGACTGCAGGGGATTATTTTTGATTCATTTTATATACTTATCTTTCAATGTAATGAATACCAGTCGTTTAGAATTTGAAATAAGTAATAGTATTTTTCCATTTTTTATTACTTTGTATTTCCGTTATGCTGATAGATAACCAGGTTTACATAAAGAGTATATTTGCTTTTTTTTCAAATGTAAGGAATTTGATCAGAGCTCGAACATTTTATCGCCCATTCGCAAATAAAATATCTCCTTAATAAGATGCTTTAGCAAATTTCCCTTTAACTTCAATCGACTTTGTTAACACGAGAGTCAGAGAAACAAATATTATTTTTAAATAATTCAGTACCAGTATTTATCTGTATACTTTTGCTGCATTAAAATTATTAACCTTGAAGTTACTTCTTTCAGTTCTTCTTAATTTTATACTACATTTTCAATTTTAATTTATAGACTTAATTTGATTTATATATAGACTTATTAAAAGTTACTTATTTTAAAATTCATTATTCACTTAACTGTGTATAAGCTTATAAATTTCTTCGTTATTCCTTAATGGAAATATTTATTATTTTTTCGTGTAAACGAGATTCTTTGTGATGATGGAATTTTCTTAAACATGTAATTAGTTCAAAGAAAGTGTTTTGTTTCTTGCAAAATTACATTTAAATCTAATTAATTTTCAATACACGATTCTTCGGGTGGAAAATGTTTCTTCAATCTACTTTTTACTCTAAAAATGTTCCTATAAATTGGCTTTATTCCAATAACATGATTAAATTCGCAGTTACGCTACATTTTTATTGAGTATTGTCACGGATAAAAGGCGCTTATTCAATTACTTCATCTAATGACTTAGTATAATTAAAAATATAATAAAAAATCGTTTTTCTGCAGAAATTATGCATAATGAAAGTAAAGCTTTAAATTACCAAAATATTACAAATAAAAATAATTATCTCCAAGTAATTCTAATCTCTTATCTAATCATATCAATCACATTCTTTATCTCTTATATAGGAAAAAAAATTATAAATTATGATTTTAGTGGCAATTTATTTACAATAACAAAATATTTTTATCATTTTATCAAATTCGATACATAGAATAAAAATGAACCATTACGCAATTTCTAGCATAAGTTTTCTCCCGCATTTAATAGCATTCTTTCAAAATAACAAACCCTTAAAAGTTTTCATAATATTCACGCAAATACTTAGGAGTATATATGCTATTTATGTATTTTGTAGTAAGTAAGATATTTTTGATTGTGATAGTAGCTTTTAATTTAATTTATTAATTAGTTAAATGCAAAATCCTGACTTTTCTGTATTGTATATCATTATAAATAAACTTTAAAAGCTAATATCTTTAATTCATCATAGGCTACTCTCTGAAAAATAAAGTACGATCAAAACTACCGGAATATGGTAAGATTAATCTAATTCCTGGTTCTATGGAAACCCTCAAAAGCTCAGCAGTTTTTACCAAGGCGCTTTGGGGATGAATTTTGAAAAATTAATGAAATAGAGTTTTATAATGTGTGATAAAATTTAGTAAATGTGGTGAAATTGGGGAATTTTATTATGATGCCTTAGAGCATGGCATAAAAAGTATTTATTCTGTTAAATTTAATTTTAGTTTCGTATTTTTAACTAAATGTGCTGTACACTGTTAAAATTTGTATTCTAAAATTATGGTGAAATAACTGGCAGCTGTCTGTTCATCCGATTCACCATAAAGTTTACGGTGAAGAACATTTTTTTCCTTTATCGTTTGGAAACCATTTACAAAAGTATGGTTAGGAAACCATGCATCCAAAACTATACTGTTTCTTAAAAAAGTAAAAAAACTTAATTATTTAACTAGACGTAGGAGGTCGGCGTTTCGTAAGGTAATGGACATTGGAAAGTGCCGGACACTGGAAATTCTTCATGTGTTGAAGGGAATGGAGGGAATAGTGTGGTGTCATCACTAGGATTCGAACTCCAGTTCTGCCTGTCATGAGATTGACAGATAAGCCCGCTCGGCTATAATATGTACGCAGTTGAAAGGAACTGAGTAGATTCATTAGGTGGTTCTAGTTGGTGCGATAAAATTCTGGTTGTGTAACCGTATTAAGTAAAAGCAGTTAATAAACTGTTTTTCTCAAGCTTAAAAGTTTGATTACCATTTTATTTATAGTTATTTGGCTGTTTTGATTAAATATGGTAAAATAACCATTCAATAAATTGTCATTTAACCATTATTTCAAAGAAATTTCTAACAGTGTAGTAAAAACAATAGTTTTGAAAATCAGAATTTCCAGTGAATCGTTGCCATCTGAATTAAAAAAAATTACCAAATGGATGGTGTAAATACTGAATATTTTGGTTTTGCTAACCAGAATTATGTTTTTCTTTTACCAAAACAGTTATTACCATACAGTAGCTTAATTTTACAGGAAAGTTTTTCTCCATGCACAAAAGAAAAAATATACATGATAGATAAAAATTTTAGAAAATTTTCTACCAACATTAGCAATGAATTTCATCTAGAATGAGTCATAGGCCTACAAACTTTAAATGCATTTATTTTAAATGAATTAATCCTTTTAACTTCTCCTTAATTCTTAACTTCAATATTTTTAATTAATGCTTAAACAAGGCATATTATTATGGGCAATGATAAAATGTAAAAATAAAAATTTTATATTTATTGTGCACCCAATTGATCTAATCAGAAAAAATTTATAAAACCCATACGATGTTCTCATTTAATTTTGCACGTATTTTAATTTTAAAAATATAATGTATTTGCAAAAAATTTAAAAATATCGAAGAAAAACGTTCCATAAAATTGAAAGAAATCGTTCGGTTCGTTAAATTGCAAAGCTAAGAAAAACTAAGAAACTGAGAGTCAAAAAATTATTATAAGTAAAATATTAAAGTTTCTTACATGCATAATTTAGAAAATAAAACAATCTAAAGAAGAAAACAAAGGAAGAAAATTTTTCTTTCAACATATTTTCAAATATTTTTGACTTTTAATAAAGCACGGGGGAAACAAGTTCTTTTGTAAATTTTTATGTGAGGTAGATTTAAATTTTGAGAAAAAAAACTAGAATTTTCGTAAAAAGTTTTCGGAATAGAACTTCTATTTTTGTCAGGAAAAAAAAGTAAATTGCAAATGCCAAGGAGTTTTTATTACTCTAAAAATTTTATTAAAAAAGATTCTAAATTGATTATGTAAAAGGTTTTCTTAAAAAATATATTTTTCAATAGTTATAGATATATTTTACATAAAAGTTTGTGGTATACACTTCCATCATGTTTATATATTAATAAATTAATTCAATAATATTATTTTTAGAGTTATTAAACAATGGGATATTTAAAAAAATGTTTGAGTGGAAAACTCATGTAATAAATAATTACAGTTTGTTTCGATGGATTAATTAAATATTGTCTGAAATAATTACATTTCATGAAAATTCCGCTTGACTTGAATATCTTAATAGCAGGAAATCTGAAGACATGGGTCTTAGTAAATATGCTGAATGAAGTAGAAAACCTAAAACGAGCTATCCCAACATTTGTTGAGTTTATAATGAGCATTCTTATTTGCTATTTCTGGACTTTCTTATTCAATTAAATTTAAATACTGTTTTCAATTCGTCAAATAAGATGCAATAACTTTCTGAATTTTCGTTTTTTAAAATATGTAGTTTTTTGTTCAATCATTCTGACTTATTCACATTTGTTCAAACATTTACCAAAAATAAGCACGGTCGATAAAAGAAAATTGAATAAGGCCAGATTACGTAGTTTTGCCCTAATATATAACTAATGTGTTGCACATAAAGATTAGAAATAATGCATAATAAGTAATAATAAGAAGATTTTATCTGTGTTACACTGTTAGAAATGTCTCTGATTTAGAAATATCTCTCTAGTTTGAGAACAATTTATTTGAATGTTATTTTACCACATTCAAGTAACACAGATAAGTCACCGTGAATATTATGGTATTTAAACTGTTAAGTGTGGGAAAGCCCGTTTATTAACAGTTTTCACATAATGCGGTAAGGAAGATAGAATTTTATCGCACTAACTAGGCCCATCAATTAAACCTTTTTGTTCTTTGAGGGTTAATCTGTCAATCTCATGACCAAAGGAACAGGAGATTTTAATTCCAGCGATGACAACAGAATATTTCCTCTATTCCTTTCAACACACATGAGGAATTTCTAGTTCTCCACTCACCCCAATTCGTGAACCTGGACTATCCAAGCATAATTAAGCTTCCTTTTTACTGTTTTGAAACCATGCTAGTTGTAAATGGTTAAAAAACTGCTTAGCTTTGTTATTGTGGTATTTTTAACCATATTAGCTGTAAACAGTTTCAGAACCGTTAAGTTAATAAATGTTCCTTAACGTAAGCTTCACCTTTAATTGAATGAGCAAACTGCTGCCAGTTTTTTACCATGATTTTAATCTGAAAATTGAAACAGAGTATAAGTGCCTGAACAAAGTATAATATACATTTGCTCTTGAAATATATATTATAAAGTCTGGAGATTTTATTGATGCTAGAAAAAAATTAAACTAATGTTTCTAAACTAAACATGCACTTAGATATTCTTCAATGTCGTATAA